AAACACTTGAGAGCAATAAACAGCTTCCGGATCACCTTACAACTGGACTATGTCTGATATCTGTGTCATTTTGGCCATTCTGACTTTATCAGCGACCTGGACCTGTTTATCACTATCTGGGTATAACCAAAACTCTGTATTCTACACCCTCTATGTCATTTCTAATGGACTGGTAATTGTGGACCCTTTGTAGCAGCTGCCCAGGGCACACCTGACACCTCAGGCTACAAACTGGGTGTTGAAGAACCCTGAGATGCAGGTGAGTGATTTTTTGTCTTCACACCAGTGACTCAGCTGTGATAACTCCCCTCCAGGGAGGCATTAGCACCTTCACACCCAGCCTGAGAGGGTCATCTCTGCTATTGGGCCATAAGGGATAGGAATAATAGGCAGCTGCAATGACCTAGGCCATCAAAGACTCCAAAAATATCCCAGGACTCTCAGAGTTAAATCACCCATTGTGAAACTCTCTGCCCTGGGGGATGTACAAGGCATTCCCACCTGAACCTAAGAATATATAATCCTCCGGCTTTGGGACTTCTGGTACCACTCTTCGGATCCAGAGGAGGACAAGAACTTCAACAGGACTGTGACTGCCGCTCTCAACAAGATGGCAATCATTACTTCTGCAGAACTGCGACCATCATCTGGACCAACAGGCTTCCTTTCCTTTTACTTTGCACCCGGGGGGGGCCACGTGGTAACAGCAAATGAACACTGTTCTGTTCTTGTCACAGAGTGCTGGGTTATACAACTGCCTTTGGGGGGTGTGGTGGTTTGGACCTTGATTTTTCCCCCAGAGGCTGAAAAGTGGTAGACCCCAAGGGGTGGAAACCCCTGGAAGTTTTGAAGTTTTGCCCAATGGGCGCTCCTGCAAAAATGTAAACATATCACAAGCTCACCGGAAGAGATGAGTTGTAGTTTGGGTTGGTGGAGAGGTGGCCATGTTGTGAGCCACGAGGAAGGGGCTCTGAGCCCCTTGGGGCCTCTGGGCCCTCCCAGCCCCTGGCTGGGGGAAGGCTACAGAGACTTGGAACAGTCTTAGACTGGACTAAGTGTCTGTAGTTATGCCGGGAGATGTTTTTCTCCATGGGCGCAGAGGAGCAGCCGGCACTGACCAGAGAAACAGTGGCACAGAGCCAGGACAGATAAGACCTGAATCGGAGAAGCAACAGAGACATGCAACATCGCAGAAAGGACTCCTGGAAAGGGAGAGAGAGAGAGAGAGCATGCAGCAGAGCTACAGAGTTTGGGGTAAGACTGATACCAGACCCCAAAACTCCCTTGAGACCCCTCTTAGAGAAGACGGACATGGACTCCTATTTTGGAGAGTAGTTTTGGACATGCAGCACCGGAGAGAGAGGAGCTGAGAAGCTCAAAGATGTCCCGGAGCTGGACCGGGACAGCCAGATGGAATGCAGGGGGAGTTGACCTTGGCTCCCCCCTCGCACTGCTGCCACGGTGGCAGCCTGAGAACAGGGCACAGAGGCCCTGCANTCTGGCACAGTAATGCTGCACTTGTGCATTTTCAAGAGCATCTGCTTTCAGATCTCTGTAAGATGGAGTATGATATCGCTTTGGGAGCAAGTCGGAAGGAATCTCTGTTTCAAAGGCCCTTCACGTGATGTTGTCTATAGCAGACGTTCAGCAGCATCTCCTGAGACACTTTAACTGGAGTATATTTGAACTATGCCAAACAGATCATCCCGTCCATGGAAAACAGAGAATGATGTTTTGCTCTAATTCCGAGTGAGTGCTGGGTAGATAACTACCAAATGCAAAGTACAACAAAACGAAAGAATTAGGTGGTCTTTCTTTTAGTAGACATGAACATAAAGTACGGTCAGAAAAAGAACTGTCACATCAACTGATCGCTTAGAACCTTCTTGAGAGTATCAGAAAAATTTGAAAAAATAATCAAAGGTACCCAATTTTTTGAAATTTAAGAACAGCCACAAGACTAGCAAATGGTCCATCCAGTTCAGTACCAAATCCCTGAGA